CAGTTCGAGTGGCCAGGGTCTGGAACGGGCTCCCAAGGGAGGTGGTGCTCTCCCCTACCCTGGGGGTCTTCAAGAGGAGGTTAGATAAGCATCTAGCTGGGGTCATCTAGACCCAGCAGTCTTTCCTGCCTATGCAGGGGGTCGGACTCGATGATCTATTGAGGTCCCTTCCGACCCTAACATCTATGAATCTATACCAAGAACAGGGGCAGCAAGCACAGGGTATGTAGTGCCTGTTGCAAAATGTTACACACCCACATTCTAAATAGGGTGGGGCGGCATGAAGGACATCACGTGATGCAGTGTGTAATGGTTGGCTCCCATTTACAGTTTAGGCAGGCTGCATACATGGGGGCAGAATAAGGTTCATATTCTACTTATTGAGGATGGCAAATGGGTCGGAGGGGTGGGGAAGCGGTGAGAGTAAAGGTGCGGCAAAGAACAGAGTAACATGGAGGAGAGTCAGATTAAGAGAGAGTACCTGGATGAAAGCAGGATGCAAGCTGACAAGCATGCTGTTTACAACAGATATGAGAACCTTTTCATTTTGGTTTGTCTTATTGCGGGAAGAAGTTTTAAAATAATTTGAGTTACTGACTTGGAGCCATAGCTGGTATCTAGAGCACCAAGTCTCTGCTCAGGCAGTGAACACAGTGGTACATATAAATGAATATTTGCCCTCTTAAGTACCTGTTTATGCCCCCCAACTGTGCAAATAAGTTATGTTCATTTTCATGTGCATGCTAAGGCCTTTCTGGGGAAACTTGGTCTGGATTTAGTTTGAAATGTAGATTTCTTCCTTGCCCTCCCTTTTTGACCTTTCAGGGTGTGTATGTACAGGGCAAAATGACTCTGTGGGCCACACAGTGTGTAAACATTTAACAATTTGTGTATCACTTTTTGAAAGGTCTCTGACTTGTGTATTTAATTAATATATGTAAATTTTTGAGCAAGGTGTGTCATACAAAATCTGCTTAGGCACTGGCAATACAAAAAAGTGAGAAATTGCTCCACAAAAAAGAGAACTTCTACAAACTCTACTTGGTCACAAGGAAAGAGAGTATTTATAATATAAGGAAAGTGTATTTGTATATCAATACATAAACATATTATATTCACATTATAAATAAGTAAAACCACCAAGTAACAAGTTGCTGGGTTTAGCAAAATAATATGTTAGTAACCTTTTTATTCCCACACCAATTTGGGAATTTGCAGTTAAGGTTCCTGAAGTAATGCATGTTACACTTATACATTACTACTTTTTCCCTTTTTTTTTGAAAAGCACCCCATACAGTAAGAGGACTGGAAATTACAGGTTAAAGTAATTTCCATCACTGCTTTTTATTGCCTTCTCGAGTTGTATTTGTTTGACAATACTGAAATTTGCATTTGATTTCTCGTGATATAAATGAAACCGTCTTACTCTCAGACAGTAAACACAGATATTGCTAAAGTTGTGGGGTGTAGAGAGGGATTATTTAAGATAAACTCAGTCGTAGTTCAGCTCCTGCTTCTAGTGGGCTGAGGCTTCTTTACGGCCTTTTGGTGGCCCTTCACATTTTGATGGTGAAGTTTCTTTGTGCTCTTAGTGAAATTTCATCCTGTGTACTTGACTCCATCGAATTTTGCCCTTGGATTGATTTATTTTTTATAGCGAGCTGTTGCATTTCGCTCGGTGCCTTCTTGCATTTCCACAACAGTCTGAAAATACCAACTGCAGCTTGGGCATGTTTGAGACTTTGTTTGACAGCACTGAGCAGCTGGTAGCTGTGAGCAGTTGATAACCAGCGGAGCTACAGCAGGTATAAAGGCCAGTGACTAGGCAAGTGAGCAAAACACAGGAAAAGAGAGAAGGGAGAAGCAGCCTGACTGTTGCTACATTTCTGTTGTAATCGCTTCATAAAAATCAGCAGCTACCAAGAGTTTTGAACTTGGTGATAAGACACTATAAATAAACCGTGCTAAGGGTGTGTCACATTTCAAAATTTGTGGAGGCTGTAAGTGGTGATTGTGAGTATTGGGTTATGCGAAGACGAATATCGAGGCCCAGGACTCAACAGTGAGAGGTAGGAGGGAAAGCTTGGGGAAAGAGAGCAAAGCCTTTGACCTTTGACAGAGCAGGCAGCTGAGGGTAGGACTCTAAATGGGACACAGGATGCTACTGGGCTAAAATGTTTTCACAGCAGAAGTTACTCTTTCTGAATGAAGAGCGAGAGGAGCTCCCTGAACACAGACCGTGTTTCTTTCTGAAAAACGAGATACAGGGGTTTGAAAGGCAGTTGGAGCCATTGCAGGAACCAAATCTTATGTGACAGGGAAATAAATATCCCAGGATAATGCAAGTTATGGCCATGGATAGGCTGTCAGGAGCTTTGGTTATAATGGAATGGCCTGAGTGAGACTATTCCTAGAAAACTGCTACTGTTGCGCAAGATGAGGAAGGGTTTATAATGGCCAGGAATAGTTAGGGTTTCTCATTCCAGCTTGTTTAGAGGCTGACGTAGTGCCAGTATACTGCAATAATGTAGTACATGCTTGATTACTTAGTGACGCTTGGATGAGTACACTCATGATTGTGGAAACTTCTCAATTAAGTGCTTTTTTTTTTTTTTTGCTTTGGCTAAAATGAAGTTGAGCGAAGTGAGAATGTTTTGGATACATAACACACAGCACCTGGAATAAATCTGTAATCTGTGTGGTGCATGTATGTATTTGTGGCTTGACTGCAGTGTGTGGGAGGGAATGGCAGTCTCTCCCTTCAAATTCACTACCCAAAGACGGGTATCCAGGTTGTAGCTGTATTGGTATAGACTAGAGGAAAAAACAATCTGGGCTCATGGTAGAGCTGATATCTTTTGTTAGACCAACAAGATTTTTGCAAAAAAAATGTCTTTAATTGCAACATTTTGGGCACAAACACCCTTCATCAGGCATCAGAGAAAAGATTGTAAAAGTCCTCCTGGGCAGAAATGAAAGTTCATATTTCCTAGGATTTCACAGAGGAGTCAATAGATTGAAAGCTCTTCTGGGCAGGCAGTTCTTAGCTGGTAAGGAGTCTAGGCTCTCTTTTGAGGCTCTGTGATGATGCAAATTGCCTTGAACCAAGGCAGGAGCAGTATCTCAGGTTTCAGGTGGTTACTGCTGCTTCCTGCTTGGGAAATATATGAACTTTTATTTCCACCCAGGAGAAATTTTTACAGTCTTTTCTCCAGTGCCTGATGAAGGATGTCTGTGCCCAAAAGACTGCAATTAAAGACTCTTTTTTTTGCAAAAATCTTGTTGGTCAAATAAGAGATATCAACTCTACCATGAGTCCTGATTGCTACCCAAAGACAGCTGATTCTATCCTAATTTAGAGCCAGTGTGTGCGAGGTCCAGTGTAACAGTGGCTGACAAACTGCTCTCCTTTCCATGCCCCCAGAGTGAAACAGGTTACGTGACCTAGAAGTCTCACTGCTTTTGGCAGCAGCAAGGTTCAGGGATGGCGACTGAAAGTAACTCTCTTCCTTGCTCCCTCCAGAGTTGGTTGTGAGGGGTGCTGCTTTCCTCTTCTCCAGAGTGAGAGAACTTTCTTCTGTCTGACACTTCTTTCCTGGTTCTTCCTTCACTTACTTCCATCCTCTATGTGAGACCTGACTTCCCTTCTGACCACATTGTTAAAGTACATACAAGTAAATTAAAAAATGTATTAGAATCTGTCTCTCTTTTTAGCTTGCCGAGTGAACTGTTTTCCCCAAATGCTTTAAACATCAAGGCAATAGACAGCACATGGTTTGGCTTGTGTGTGCCTGAAATTCATATATCCTATCACGGGGAGAAAGTGGAAGTGCAGATGCATCCTTCTGTTACTCCTTACAGCAGGTGGATAAATGGTGCTGCATTGCCCATCTTAGAATGATTTGTTTTTAAAGACCACTCTTCCCTCAGTTCTTCTACGATTTCTTAAAGGAGTTGATGCTGTATTTCTCATCTTAAGAATAATTTGTTTTTGCTGCTAAAGAAAACTACTTACTATCTCTCTCTCCACCCACCAATTGTTCTTAAATGCTAGTAGATGCAAACACAAAGATTCAAGTGTTTAGGCTTACACTTGTGCAGAGATGGAGAAGATGGAGGTTTTACATACTTTTAGTTCTTTCCAAAATAAAGTGAAAACACTAATTTTTTTCATTTTCTTCTCAAACAGATCTTCCAAAGTGACTTGGTATCTACGCAGGAAGCTTTCCACAGCACATGAACATTTAATCTCTAAATCTAGCACAACGATGCATTAGACGAAGCCAGGCTGGTGCAGAAATTTCATACTGAAGGATGAATAGTGAAGAAGAGTTTTATGATGCCGTTACGGGTGAGTGAAGACAAATGCAAAATAAAACCACAGGCTGTGTTTGCCAGCAAGAATGTAGCTCCATTGTTATTAGGGGACCACGCACCATTCTGATCATTTGTGATGAAAACTTTTTAAGGGAACAAAAAGGAATTGTTCCACTTCTACTTTAAGCTAGGGAGCCAGGAACCTTTTTAAAGCTTAGTAGCTCTCCCTGTACACTTAAAGAAGCCCATTAGCCTCTGCCTCACTTTTACCATCTGTAGAATTGAGGTAATCTTGTGGGAGGGCAGAGCGTTATTGTTTGCAGAGTACTTTGAAAATTAAAACTATTGCTTACGTGCTGAGTGTTAACTTCAGTGAAGAACTTGTCCCCAGGATTGAAATGGAAGACATTTCCCAGTCAAAAATTGATTAATATAAATGGATGCTTCTAGCATAGGGAGCCAAAAGTCTTTGCTGTCTGCTGTTGCCTTTACAAAAGCCAACACAAACCTTTTGATAATTGAGCCTTGTGTTGGACAATATTTCTCTTTTGAACTAATAGAGCCTCAGCTATTTACAAAAAATTTAAAACCATGTAAGGATAAATTGAAATGCTTTATAAAAATAATGTAACAAAAAGCTTCTCAGAGATTCCAAATCATTAATCCCCTTATCCTTTAAAGTGTCTTCAGAAATCCTAGAGTGGAAGAAGGATGGGAGATATTGGCCTCTGGAAATTTAGCGAGTTGTGTCTTGGGCATCTTAGAATCCAGGGAGTAAAAGGAGACGTATTGGGGAGCATGGAGCTATTGAGAATAGGAGTAGAATGGAAGAAGTATGATGGAGGGGAAAGAAATGCGGTGTGCTGCTTGAATCTCAAAAAAATCCCTTGATTTTAATCGCGCTGCTAAAGAGTGTTAGGGTATCAAGAAGTGAACCCCATACATACACCAGCTTTAGAAATCGCATTTTATAAAAGGATTAAATGATCTGAGGGTTTGTCTCTTGCATTGTTGATAACATTGCTGAGACCACCACAGTACATTGTCTGCATGGTTGTTTGGTCCATTCCTTCAGCTCTTGGTGCGCCAACGTACAGTCCTGAAGTTGGGTCATCTCTCTTTGCCAAACCAGTTCATCTTCTTTTTTCGTCTGCTACTTAATCCCTTCCTACAAAGGTAAACCAGTAGCACCAAGATGCAAAGAGCCAAAGAATTTTGAGTCTCAGTGACCTGGAGTCACTTGGGTTTACTTATTCTCTGCTGCCTCCTTGCTGCAAGTGGGGAATCATGCACTGTCTTTGAGAGCCCTTCTAACCCTGCCCCAGCTGAATCCTTATGCAAGAAGAAAGACTGTAGAAGGGAGAAGAGGAAAGAAGGAATCCAGGAAAGCAAAATGCCAAGTCTTAGCCTTGTTCCCATTGCAGTGACCAATTCATGTGAGCTTGGAGCCCCTTCTGTTTTGGGGAGCTGGGCTGTGGTGCTGATCCCACAGATGAATGTGGCTGGGCTGGGTGGTTCTTCCTCATGCTGCCTTGGGGCAAATTTTCCTTGGTTCATTGACTTTGGCTATGGTTGGGGCATGGTGCCATGTTCAGGATTGGGTTTTTATGCCAGGTTTCCTATGCACTTTCTCCATCCAGTACTGTCTTGCTGATGTCAGAAAGTTTTGTGCGCCTTCTCCATGAAGATGTGGCTGGTAGCTCTCTGTCTTGAGGGACAAACTCCAGCTCTGGATTCACCTATTCAACTCTATATTATGGTTAGGGACCTACTGGATTTGCACCTGTGCAGTTTTCATGGAAACCGGTAATTTGGGTGGGTGCAAATTATTGCAATTATTATTAATTTGGATTTGCACTGCACCCCCCCCCCCCCCCCACTTTGCCGGAAGACAGAAAAAAAGGGCAGGAAGCCCTGCAGTCTTGGAGCACCGGGGCTGGGGGGAAGGAGGGTAGAGGGCGGAGGCGGGGCGTGCAGAGGAGGGTTGGGAAGTTAAGGTGCAGAGAACGGGAGGGAGGAGGGGGTGGAACTGCTTGCAGCAGGAGGCGAGGGACCCTGGTGAAGCTGCTTGTGCAGCATCCCTGCTTGGGGATGGCTTGAAACTGCAGCTTAATTACCCTGATTAAACCCAAGGAAACCTTTAATCCATGCTTAATAACGCATGGATTAATGGCTTCCTTGGGCTGGTAATCAAGCTGTGGTTTAGAGTCATCTGGGACTCTGTGGGGAAGAGTGGGACTGCTGGCACCCCTCACCCAATCAGAGGCAGGGCAGGGGGAGGCTGCCATGCTTAGCCCATGAAAATGGTGGCCGGCATTGGGCTCTGCTCAGAAAATCAACCGGCCACCTCCTTGAATTTGGTAGACCCCTAATTTATGGTAGAGTAAATCCCAGGGCATCTCTTTAAATACCCCTGCTGGTAGGGCAGCTTTTTTTTACCCAGTTTTGGCAACCTGTCAGGCTGCATGGGTAGCCCTGCCCCTTGACAGGTGCCCCGCCCCCTGGTCACCATCTTGGGACCAGTGCCTCAGTGTCTCAGGGCCAGCCAGCCCACCGCTGGCCCTCTCCCCCCTCCCCCCCCTGCACTCAGCACCAGCTTGTAACCTGCCCCTGCTGCCCGCCTGGGCCCTGCGCCGGCCCTGAGCTC